TTTTAATTATTTCTGCTGCTCTAAAGTTCACTTTGAGGCATTATTTTACATTTTTTTTTTTTGTGGGGGAATTTGAGATGACCAGGTAATTTCCTGCTTTATTTCCTCATCTTCCCAGAATCCTCTCATGTAGTACTTGTGAAAAAACCATTTTTCCTTTGGGACTGTTCTTATAGTAATGGAGTTACTTTTGACTAGGATGGATTTTTGGGCATCCCTAGGACTACAATAATTTTTATAGTGGTTGGTGTCTTCTTTGTTGTACTTACATCTCCAGCTTTAGCTCCTGAATTAGGCTTTGTACAAAGGTCAAGCTCCAGTCCCTGCTGCATTTTGGGATGGGATGGTTGGCTGTCCTTAATTTTACCGAGTCATGTGGGTTCCTCTACCTCTCAGGCTTTGGTCACCTTTGATTTTTAAGGTTCGGGACACTAGATTTTCAGGGCTCTCTATTGTGTCTCAGGACAGAGTACTAGGGACCTGGGAGTCCCTGGGAGTTGTTGCTACCCCTACTGGCTTCCAAAGTTCTTTCTGTCAGTTTCTGACCACCTGGGGAGAGCACTCTGATCTGTTTGCCTCAGGACACAGCACCTTGCAGGCTATGTTTGCGTCTTCCTTGTCTCTGGACATTCTTGGAGGCTGCTGACTTGTTTATCTGTTTTGGTCCTGGTTTTGCTAATGGCCTCCTTTCCCATTACTGGTTAATGAATGGCTGACTTTTTTTGTGCAGTTCTGGTGTAGAAAAAGTCACTTACTGTGGTTTTTCATTGAGTTTCTTAATTATTATTCAGTCACCTGTGATTCTTCAGGTTTTTCCTCTAATAAGTATGTGGGTGCTGTGTGGTCTGCCTCAATTTTGGATGCTATCTTGCCCAGAAACCCCAATTCCTGTGATTCTGAACCTCCAGCTGCCAAGGTACCAACCTTGTCCTCTAGCCCCAATTGCCCACTTCATCTCAGGTCTCAATAAACAACAGAAGATGGAAGAAATGAGAAAGGAAAATGTTTAGTTTCAAAAGGAGTATGTTCATTATAGAGCTAAAATTCCAGAGGGAATTGTAGAAGGGATAGTCAGATCTGGATTAGGACCAAACAATAAATTGACCCTTGACTTATAGCATTTGCTGATTTCTGAGGTGTAAGTGCTCACACTGAAAATTTATCAGTACAGTCCTGATTTCACCTTATTTTTTTATCTTATCTTAGACCTACTGTTACACTTCTGGCTCTCTCCATGCTATTCCGATTGCTCCCCAGCTTCCACTTTTGTCTTCCCTTCACACCCTCTACTTTCCAATCCTACTTCCTGGGAATAGAAGTTAAATCAATACTGGCATTCCTGATAAAGAGATCTCAATCAATTGTCCTATTGCTCCAATCACAGCAACAACTGTCACCGGCATTTAAATAGCATTTTAACGTTTGCGAAGTTCTTTACAAATATTTCATCTGTTACTTACTGCAACTCTGGGAGGTAGATGCTATTATCATCATCATCATCCCCTTTTTGCAGATGAGGAGATTGAGGCAAATAGAGATTAAATGACTTGCCCAGGCACATGCAGCTAGTAAATATCTGAAGCCAGATTCAGAATCAGTTCTTCCTGACTCCAAGTCCAGTGTTCTTATACAGCACTCTTTCTTACTTCCCTGTCCAAAATATCTCACCCCTGGCCACTATTTGTGTGTGTGTGTGTGTGTGTGTGTGTGTGTGTGGTGTCTTCTACCATCAGAGTGTAGGCTCCTGGAGAGTAAGGATTGTCTTGCTTACTTGTATTTATGCCTCTAATCCTTATTGAGGTGCCTAGTATATAATACCTTTTTCATTCATTCATTCAAGATAATGTAGGTATTTGGAAGAATAAAGTTAATGTGTGTTCACAGGTGGAAAGAATAACAGTCAGGGTAACTTGTGTAATGTTACAGAAGAGCTTGAAGAGACAAGTGTGTGAGCCAAGTGGGCAGAATACAGGGATGGGCAAACTGGATGGACTCCCTAAAATTTTTAAACTCAGGTAGGTGGCAGAATAGGAGTGGCTATTAGTATTATTAGTAACAACAATAATAAGACAAGCACCAACCTGCCTGAGTGATTGTGGAGGCCAGCCCTGCAATGTATTAGGATACACCCATAATAACTGACCAGGCCATTTATCATGTGGTCTGTGGAGAAATATAAATCATACAATTCAATAATTCACTTTGTAAGATCAAAGATTTATATCTCCAAGAAGGGATCATGCATTGATATAGTGCCTACCCTCGGAAGTAGGTTTATACCGTTTTATAATTGTGGAAACTGAGCCAAACAGAAATTACTTGCCCCAGAGTCACAGAGCTAGCAAGGATCTGAGGTAGGATTTGAACTCAGGTGTTCCTGACTCCAGGCCCAGCCCTCAGTACCCTGTAGCACTTAGTAGACTCAAGGGAACTTAGAGGTTATCTTGTCTAACTCTTCTCCCACCCCTCCTCATTTACAGATAAGGAAACTGACTTTTAATGCTATCCATGAAGTAAAGGAAAATATCTTTCCCATGCAATGCCTTTAAGTCCCTGATGAGAAATTGGTTTTCATTTTCATTGGCATATGATAAATTAAGAAGTTTTATCTCTATTTGGTTTCCCACAATATTGTAAGAGGAGAACTTTATTATCTCCATAATGAAGAAACCTTGAAATAATTTTAAAAGGCATTTAAAAAAAGTATAAAATAAAAGATAGGATTAAAGAAAGACAGTTTAAATGTAATTTTTTTTTTGCATTATGAAGATCAGTTTGCCTTTGCCACTGTTATCTGTAAGCATAGTTATGAAAAATGGAACTGCCAACATGATAGAATTTTTTCTTTTTGGTGGCAATCAGGGTTAAGTGATTTGCCCAGGGACACACAGCTAATAAGTGTCTGAGGCCAGATTTGGACTCAGGTCCTCTTGATTCTGTGGCCGGTGCTCTATCCACTGCACCACCTACTGTCCTATAAATTTTTTTTTTAAATGGTAAAAATGGTGATTTTGCTTATACTATACTGCTGCTCAGAAACTTCGTCAGAATAGAACAAAGAAGAAAGTTCTTTGGCTTGTATTTAGACTGAGGGAAAAATGGAGTTAAATTCAGTAAACATTTATTATGTATCTATTATGAGCAATCAGTCAACAAGTATTTATTAATCTACTATATTTCAAACATTGTTTTGGGGTCTGGGAATACAAAGAAAAATGAAGCAATCTGTTCCCTCAAGGAGTTTCCATTCTATGGGAGGCAGGGTGGGAAAGAACATGTGCCCTTATATGAAAAATACAAAATATATACACAGCAAGTAAAAAGTAATTTCTTAGGGGCACTAGCAGCTCCTGTGGTGGTCAGAGAAGGCCTTGGTTGGGAGGTGGGCCCCTGAGTTCAGCTTTGAAAGGATCTGGGGATTTCAGAAAGCAGACATGAAGAGGAAGTGAACTTCAGACATAGGAGGGCAGCCTGTGCAAAGGTTTGAAGATGGGAGAAAAGGAATGTTATGAATGAGGAAGCATCAGTTAAGTGAATTTGACAGGGATGTGAAGTGCATCAAGGCCACAAGCACAGAGTGTTGCTAGGTGGCACAGAGGATAGAGCTCTGAGCTTGGAGTTAGGAAGATCTGAAATCAAATCCAGCCTCAGACACCTCCAGGCTGTGTAGCCCTGGGCAAGTCGCTTCACCCTGTTTGCCTCAGTTTCCTCATCTGTAAAAAGAGCTGCAGAAGGAAATGGCAAACCGCTCTAAATATCTTTGTCAAGAAAACCTCAAATGGGGTCACAAAGAATAGGAGTCAACTGAACGACAGTGAGGATCGAATGAGCTGGTAAAGGGCTCACAAATTTTTTAATGTAAATGTGAGATTATTTAGGGCCCAGACTCAACTTTTGGGAGGTGAGGAAAGAGGAAGGCATGGATGGGAAATGGTGCCATGGAGTAGTACATAGCGTATTTAATAGATTTTAGAGCTGGAAGGGACAAGGCCCATCTCCTCATTTTATAGATGAGAAAACTAAGACAGTTCTCTATCTTGCCTATGGTCGCAGAGCTAGCAGGTATGATCTGAACCCATGTCTTTCTGGTTCTAGATCCAGAGCTCTATTCACTGCACTATACTTAACTCTCAACATCTTCACAATTGATTCCATTTTAGGGACAAAAGAACCCAGGAAACCACAGCAGATCAATAATGCTGTTCAGGTAGGGCACAGTGAAAGGCAGTATTTTGCCCTTTGTGTCCTTTGGTTTTGAAGAGAGACCTTTGCAGTTTCCCCTCCTTAGTTTGTCATGCCTGAAGGTAAACAGAAGTGTGTTAATGTGGATGGTATTTAAAGGTAGCCCCAGGCCAAGTGGAGAATCTGGGAAGAAAGAGGAAGGAGTGGACGGAGAAGACTGGTGATGACGTCTGAGACCCTGCCTGCCAGAACCAAGCTTATATTTGAGGAATCCTGTTGCACGGGTTCTTAACCTGAAGTTCTTTACATTAGGTAGATTTCAGGGGAAGCGTGAAACTGAATGGGGGGGGGGGGGAATGACATCTTTATTTTCCACTAACTTCTAACTGTAATTTAGCATTTCCTTAATTTATTAACATCGGCAATGAATGGGATCCTGGAGTCCCACAAGCTTCACCAGACTGCCAAAGGGGTCCATGACACAAAAAAAGGTTAAGAATTCTTGGCCAGGGTCAGGTTCCAGGAAGGACAAGAATTAGAAGAGCAACTTCTGGAGAAAGTCCTGAAGGCGGGGGTGCCTTGGGAAGGGCTCAGGAAGGTATAAGAGGGGAAAGGGAGGGACAGCGAGGAGTCAAGGATCATGAAGCTTTGAAGAGCTGAAAGGAAATATGAAAGGAAAGTCACTGTTCTCCATGCGTGTGAAGACAAGTCCCAGGAGAAGGAAGCTGGCTGCAGGTGGAGAGAGCTCTGGAGGCTGCAATCTCAGTTAAGTGGGGATTGCTCTGTTTTCTCCACTGGGAGGAGGAGGAGAAGGAGACTCGGAGAGACGCGGCAAGTCTCCGGTACCGTAGAACTTTCCGGCCCTGCGCATCACACCAACCTAAGGAGAAACTCGGATTGCCTTGCCGCGATGAGAGTTCAGCTCGAGGTAATCCCAGGCCCTTGGAGATGCAGTCTGAGCTGGGCGGAGGGCGAACTAGGGGAGAGTTGGGTTTGCATCCCCAGCGGCTTCACGTCGGGGCGCTCCTCTGGGAGTCACTCAACCAGAAGGAACCCTAACCTCTTCCCTACTTTGCAGCTCTCCTGCTCAGCTGAGAGTCTTTCAGCGAGAGGCTGCAAAGCTCGGGGAGGGAAGGGGCGAAGGGGAAGCTCCGGGTCTCGAGTCCCCACCCCGGGATCGTTTAGCTTGGGTTCAGGAAGCGTGTTAGGAATCACATGCCGGGGTTGAGAGAAAACTGTAAAGGAACTGGAAGTGTCTCTGCTACACTAGCGATTGTGCCTTGTAAATTTTAAGTTAGGCAGGTGCTCACATATCAAGAAGTACTAATTATAAGAATGATAATGATGAAATTTTGCTTGTTTGGAATTCGAAATTCGGTTCAATTTAATATTTATTTGGCTTTGAGTTAATCAAAGTGGAGCAGTGGAGAGATCCCCCGATTTGGAGTCATAAGACTTGGGTTCAAATACCATGATTTGAATGCCCTAATTGTACACTCAGCCCGCTGGGTTTGCTTTCCCTCCTCCCAATACACTTAGACTTAGAATAGTAAAACTAAATCTTAAGAGTTTACTTTGTTAAAGTCCGGAAATGTGGTACCATGGAATGAATGATCAGCTGCTAACAAAGTGTGACCATGGGCAAGTCACTCAACCTCTCTGGGCCTCAGTTTCCTCACTTGTAAATTAAGATTCCTCCCAACTCTAAGAACTAGTAGTACCATAGCCCATATTTGTATGTGTGTCCCCATTGTAAAGGGAACCACAATAAAAAAGGTTTTGCAGTTGGATTAATTTCTTCAGAGATCAATTAAAGCAATAATCCATAATCTAGTTAATTGATAATGTGTGCTCCTGAAGTCTGGAAATCCAGCCCCAAGAATACAGGCATTTTTCACCTTAAGTTACATATGTATGTATGCGTTTATGTATGCATATGTGTATATACAATATTAATAGCGAACACATATAATACTTTATACATATATGTAACTACATATTTTTCACCTGTGATTTCTTCAATGGAGGGAACTTCCTTTCCAGAAACTTTCTCTACCCATGAATACTTTCAACTATTATGAAGCTTAGAGAGTTGCCTAAGGTCACTAGGAGGTTTTAAGTGATTTGCTTAGGTTTATGCAGCCAGCCAGAATATGTCAGAAGAACTAGGTCTGAATCTCTATCCACCCTCCAGAGCTGTCTCTCACAAGACTGGACTCATATATATTTTCATATTTGTGTTCATATAAATATTGGTGATGGACTAGAGGTAGATTCCCTAGAGATAGGGAATTAGAGTTGACTTTGTTTTCTGTCTGCCTCCTCCTGTGTGAAATCTTTGCTGAGATGTGTGTTTGGGGGGATATTTGAGATTTCTCTAGAATTGATAAGGATTTGCTCACATGGCTTAGATGGAATGAAAGTTACCCCCTCCCCCACTTTATTATTTGCTCTGTCATTGCTTCCTTAAGGTCCTGTCAACTTCTCTGACTCAATGGCTAATAGAACCTTTGAGCTGTTATCTGACCTGCTGACTTAATCTACAGAATTTTGGGCCTGGCCAACTGCCATCAATATCTGTCTTTTCTGTCCACTTCTTCCCTTGTCTTCCCAAATTTCCACATGGAATGGGGCTGCCTTTAGATACCATCCTGGCCAACTTTATTCTGTTCCCCTTCAGAAGTGATCAGCTACTGGGAGCAGAGACTGAAAAGGTCTCTATTCAAAAGTAATTAACATTATTTTGCAAATACTGCTTTTCACCTTTCTAGAGCTTTCTTCTATGTGTTAAACCCTCCCAATTGGAGGGTGAACT